TGGGGATGTGGAGGGAAAGGCTAATAAATTGTGTAAAGATTCCTCTTCACCTTCACACACACACCCCAAACCCTTCTAAGGTCTGCTTTGAATGATTCATGTGTGTACTTATTGAACCACCTATGTGGTAGGGAACCAAGACTGGATTATTGGTCAGTGCCTGATGTTTAGTAACCATAGGCACTCCTAGAATATAGTGCTATTTTTAAAAAACTGAGTTCTTATGCGTCCATGTCAAATTTGTAGGCCACTGGGTGTCTGAGTTCCTCCTATCTCCAGACACTTCCACAACCTGGTGCAAGCAATGCAACAGCAGCTGGTAACATCTACAGAGCATGCACACACTCCAAAAACTGGATGCTTCAATCTGCTTATATCTGCAATTTAAGAATGTTTACTTCCACCCTAGATCACCACAATACTGCACAGTACTATGTGCACTTAAGCCTCACTGAAATCCAGTGGCCTATCTTGCCTTTTTTCAGTCAACGCAGTGATAATTTTTAGCCCTTTCTACAATTCATTTTTCTGTGTCCTTTTTCTCTAGAAACCATATCCCCACTTATCCCCTCCTAATGAATTATTCCTCTGTTTGCAATTTTGCATTTGCTATTCACTGGGAAAAGCTCTTTTGACAAACCACTGTGTTCCTCATCCTGCAGTAAAAATAACATACAACTCCTTCTGTACATCAATAAAAGAGATCCAACGGACACAATTAAAATAATTTCATTAAGGAACTTTTATCTATCATGAAAACCTCTTGCAGATATTATTGTTAGTAAGCACAAACACTGACACACGCATTCTATACATGATGCAAACAAAAGGTCATTGTGCATCTCTCTCTCTCTCTCTGTGTGTATAAATGTAATTTTCATATATGACATTAAAGGATGTCTCCATATTGAATGAGAATCAATGCTTTTGCATGGTAGATTTTAAAGACTAAATCAGTCTTAAGAAAAGGACGATCACGGGTATGCCTTTGAATATAAGCGTCACTGGGCTTCTGTGGCATCACAATCCCCCCCCCCCCCGGAAATGTACAACATGCATTTTAATTTTTGTTACAAGAAAAACTGGAACATAATAGCAAGAAGACAACTTACTGGGCATTCAACGGCATGCGAATATGGCTTGTAAAAGCTAAACTAGTCCCAAATCAACTACTGTATAAGCAGGATTCAAAAAGGACTCCTGGTTGCAAGTCACTGAATTGCTAGATTTTCCATTAGAGCCTCAGGTTTGCATTAGACAGGGTCTGTCTGTCCACTAGTTGCTTTCTATCCAAGAGTGGCCAAGGCCTGGAACCAGGTGCAACCAGGGTAGAAGCTCAAGCACCAAGTAATAACCTCTGAACAGTTTCCATGAATGACTGGGGGAAGAAAACAACCAGAGTTTCATTCTCTCAAGCAGTAGTCTACAGAGGCAATATTTTGGTATCATAATGTTTGCATGAATATTACTTTTAGCATATAGGGAACCATCATTACCTCCATTTATTTATTTTACTCAGATGGCATTTTCTGCGTGACTCCCTTTGAAATGGCATGCTTAATAAGGGATCCGAACAAAACTATATACACATACATTACAGTTAGGCCCCATATCAATTTATCAAGCACACTTCAGATCTGCAATCCCATGCATATAGTTACTTTCCCTAAAATGGAATTCGACAATGTTCAAAAAGTTTAAAGCCCTGACCTATTGAACTGAAACCTAGTATCTTTCTTTTAAAATGCAAATGAACATGACAAAACACAGTGTCAAGTCACATTAGAAACAAAAATATCCAACATTTACTTGCAACTTCATGTGAACAGATATCAGACTACTTTCTAATTAATGAAGTGATTAGTCACTAATATACAACTTGCCATAGTAATTTGGCCCATCCAGCAAGCAACGGAAAAAGTAGGACTGCAGAAGACTTGGGAGATATGTATCTTAAAAACAAAACATGCTAGAGAAAGATGAGGAAAACAAGATTTATATAATGCATAGTACTGTGAAACCATAAACACTTTTTCTGACAGCATACCAGGCTAACACACAAACTGGTGAGGTTTGTTGTTAAAAACTCCCGGAAAATTGAGTTGTGCAGCTGCAATAACAAAATCTAACCAACGTACTGCTTTCAAAAGAGAAAAATACAATTAACAACGGTCCTGTAATATAAATGGTTGTATACTGAACACTGCAAGTTGCTTTTTGCATATACAGTCAGACACACATAACACAGTTAAGGCCTAACTAACTGTACTCAGCATGGACAATATACTACACAATTCATTAGAATGCAAGGAACTTTTCAAAGTGAAAACTGTGTGAACCGATGCAAACTAGAATTATTGGTTGCCATATTTAAGCATGGATGACTGTGGCAGCAGCAGCCGCAGCTGTGTACTGTATTTTCCACTATATCAAGTTCATAAAATCAACTTTTAAAGAACCCTAAGCTAATCCACACAAAGCATAGAAGATCACTTCGATTCCAAGAAGAGAAATTCAAAATGTGACTGGAGAGCCTGATGAGAACACAAGGAAGGAAAAATCGGTATGAATATGTAGATGTGTTCTAGCATTTTCTTCAGTTATGAAATTCCTATATGATGGCGATACAAAAGACGAATCGAAGAGATGAAGAATACAATTCAGACTGACAAACACATTTTACGTTATAATCAAATGTTCTGAAGGTGTTTTTGCATCCTAACTATTGAAGAAAACATTTTCTCTTAATTAAATAAATATTCTATGTTGTCCTAAAAGCATAATCAATTGGTCTTTGTTCAAATATTTATGCTAAAGTGCCACAGAATCATGCGGTGACACAGAAATGCATGCACCAAGTGGCACACGAAAATATATGCATTAACAAAGGGCTCTTCCCCAGCAATCACATTCAGACAGCTTTTGTGACTAATCTTGAGAATGTATTTCAATAATTTTACATTTGACTGGCTTTAAAATGCTTAATGAAAGTTGACTGCATAATAGCACTTTTATTGTAAAATGCAATATCTAATTAATAATCTTATTAACTTTTCTTCAATTAAAATACAGGGGCTGATACGGCGTGAATATCAACCAGCAAGGTCCGCAAAACTGCACAAGTAAACAGGGTGAAACGTTTTGCTGCTGCTTCAGTTATAGCAGTGTTTACGTCTTAAGCCACTTTCACATAATCTTGTATTGTTTTAGAAATACTGGCAGTTTCTGATGTGCCACATTAAAAAAAGGAAGCTAGCTACTAGAAGATTCTATCCTCTACCACCCCAAAGATCCCTTAGTGACATTACAGCACTCCTCAGATTATGGCCTCGATTTTTTTTCTTTTAAAAGCACACTTCTTTTCATATTCTGGCAAGCAAGGTGGTGCTTTTGCAGATACCCTGACACAAATCTGCGCCTTTTTTTTTAGAAAAACAGGTCTAATGTGAAAGTGGATCCATGTAGACACAGTGTACTGCACTGTGAATGGCCAGCCAGGTATTTTATGAATGGAGAGGATCACGTGCTCCCAGCACTTCCCCGAGCCGATATTTCCCACATAACAGTGTCAACAAGCAGAGAACAGTATTTTTCGAGACGAAAATCCAGAAAACCCTAAACCTCGAACATACTAGGCTCTTTCTACCTTCATGAAAATTTCCCATTTCTTGCAAGCCATGTTCAGTCGAATGTCGAAGGTGGCATAGGTCTAATTATTATTTTTTATGAATGAAGACTGTGGTATGCAAATTAGAGCGATTCACAAAAAAGAAAATATGGCGGCCGCTTCCCTCTCGGTTCCACGGGCACTGCAGCACTTCATCTTACCAAGTAGCTCAATACAATGTTTTGTACTTGTTCCTGTTGCAGTTCAGGATTTGTCCTTGTTATATTATGTGATTCTGGCTTAAGAGTAAAGCCATTCATTAAAAAAGAAGCAGCAGAAGCAGAAGCCTGTTCCTTTACCGATCCATCTTAAGGAATTAAGGTTTTATATGGAGGAATGTATGCAACTGACAAGTGTTCCCTTCTCCACCAAAAACCAGTATTTCCTCCTACAATTCAAATTACTTGCTACAGGCACTGGAAAAATAATTACCGTGTGATAATTGTGCCAGAAGGATGCTTTTGCACTATAATTGAGCCACAACTATTGCAAAGTATGTTTGAGAAAATGACTAATTCGCAACTCATTCTTGCAGAAAAGAACAACCATTGACAGGGCAGGATGCAGGAGTCACAGGCAGCGTCAACATTTTTCATTCTTTAGGAGAAATGGGAAAGTTCAGGACTGTTGACATGACTACCCTGTTTCAGAAATTATATATTTCATAGCAATTTTGAAGGCTACATCCCTACAGATATAAAAAAGAAAACATAAGCCCCCAATAGATTTCATCCAAGCCAAGCATGTTAAATACATTAATATCTTGCACGTTATATATATAAATATCTTCATTCTATTCCCCATTTAAAGGAGGGGGGAAGGGCGAAGAGTCCTAACAGCTCGTTAAAATGTATATATAAAGCTTTGGGGCAAGGTTTAACACTGTATTTACACTGACTCATCCAATTAAAATTCAGGAACAGTTTCCCTCGGGATGAAGCTCCCACTCACTACTTTCTATAGGAAACATGCAAACGAAAATAGACTTCTTTCCCCCCCCAGAAAACGTTGCACGTAGGCCACTGGAAGTTGAGGGTCGAGGGGGGTGGCGGGCGGGAGACGGAGGGTCCAATTCCTCAACACACATAGCTAGGCAATTTTTTCACCATATCCTGGGTCTGCCATGACTTTTCCAAATTACCAAAACAGTCAGATTCGGGGGGGTGGGGGGTGTTTACATATGCAGAGAGACACACACATCAACCTATCCGTACGGAGCCAGCTATGTAAGGAGCCCGAAGAGAGCAAGTCAATGAACGGTAGGGGCGGGTGGGGAGAGAGAAACGCCAAGCCGAAGAGACCCCCAGCCCCGAAGAAAAGCCGAGAAACTTACTCGTTGTTAGAATTCGCCGTCTCTTCGCTCATTTTTTCCTCACCGTGATCCGATCCGGGGATGGAGCAGCACCGACGCAGCCAGGGCGCAGCAGGAGCTCACCAGAAACCTCACCATTGTTAAACCCCACCGATGCCCCCACTGCACACCCTTCCGCCAGAATGGCCTCAATCCTTGAGGTGGGTCCCCCTCCGAAAGCAGCAGCAGCCTTCCCCGCCTCTTCTTCGCACGGAAACGGAGGGATCCTGTTCGGCCGAGAGTTGGGACTGATTTCTGCTTTGGCGGCGGCAGCAATCGAAGCTCTTTCTGGTCTTTTTCACGGGGAACCGGGCGGCTGGCGGCGGCGGCGCCTCGGCTGCAAGCGAGGCTCCCTAGCCGTGTCCTTGTGCCGCATCGGCACCAGGAGCCCACATCTCCCGCTGCCGCAGCAGCAGCAGCAGCTCCTCCTCAAGCCTGGCCTCTTGGCTTCCTTGCTTCACCCCCCTCCCCTCGTCCCCACGAGCAGGTCCCCCCAGCTCCCCGCCGCGTCCCTTCCTCGGTGCCAAATCCCCGGGGCAGGACGGAAAAGCACCGCGGCAGAAATTCCTCCGGACGCCCGCAGCAGCAGCAGCAGCGTCTGCAAACCCGATTTTTACAAAAAAGAAAGGAGGGGGAAAGCAGGCGGCTCAAGTCCGACTACCCCGCGAACAAGCAGAGGCAGCACTGAGGGAAACTAATTCAGCCCCAGGCAGGCGAAAAGGAGAGGGAGGGAAAGAGGGAGGAAGAGGAGGAGGAGGAGGAAAGGAGGAGGGAGGGGGGAGTTTGAAAGCAGCCCGGAGGTTAGAAAAGGGGAGGGGAGGATGCGTCACGGCTGGTGGCGCTGGAGGAGGAGGAGGAGGAAAGAGGAGAAGCCGAGAGGAGAAGTAGGAAGAGCTCGTCCTTCTCCTCCTCCGCCACCAGCCCTGGCACCCCGCCCTCTCCCCAACCGAGAAGGCGAGCAAGTTCAGGAGCTGCTCCCCAGGCCCATCCGGAGCAGCCACAGCCCCCGAGCCTCCCTCTCTGCGCCCCCCCTTCCTCCTCTGACTGGAAAACTGGGCGGAAGCGTTGACTTCACGCTCCTTCCGCCGCCAACTCTCCGAGGCGACGGACGGGAAAGGAGAGCCCGGGCACTTGAGAAGCGCCTCCGGCCGAAGGAGCCGCCGAAGGGCGCCGAACTTTTTTTTTTTTTTTTGCCACGGGGCTGGGGAAGGGCGGAGAAGCGCCCCCCCACACACACACATAGGCGGGCTACGTCGCCTTCCCTCTTTGCACGCGGCTGGCGCCCCGAGCCCCTTCACTCGGAGGAACACGGCTGCCAAGGGCCCCGATTCCCTCCGCTCTCTCTGGGAAGCCGAACAGCACAAACTTGCTGTTCCTTCGCGCGCTTCCAAGGCCGGAGGGGGGCGGGGGTTCCTTTGGCTGCTCATTCGCCGCCCCTCAAAATAAATAAGCAAATGAGCAAATATCGGGAATGTTCCTCAAGTTTGCACAATAAAACCCCCGGGTTGTGGCGCGAAGGGATTTTGTTATGGAGGCCACGCAAAGCGCTCTTCCTGCTCGAGACTGGCTGGTCACCCGAGGAAGCGGGTTCCTCCCAATGGAACAGTGGGGGGCACAAGTCGGAGCAAAACCCAAGTTGGTTCTCGGGTGGTTTGCTTTGCCACGCCGTGCCTAGAAAGAAAGAGGCTCTTGCTACCGAGGCCCTGAAGTCTCTCATGCCTCTCCTAAGGAGTCGCTCTTTTTCCCCCTTTCTTTTTTGGCTGGGCTACCTCCAAGGAAGAACAGGAGGGAGGGGAAGAGACTAAATGACCACATTCCCAGCCCGCCATGCAAAAATAGTTTCCCGAAAGTAGTTCCCTCGCTCGCTTATTTTCAAAGAGTTGCGAGTGTCTCGCACGCGCACCGCGGAGGGATACGCGGAGTTGTGCACAAGGCCACACGCGCGGGGAGGGGAGCGAGGAGAGTTAGGCGCCAGGGCCAGAGAGCCAGCCCCGCTGCAGAAGAGAGGGAAGCAGTTGGAGCCTGCACGGTGCAAGGCGCGTGCATTTCCCTCCGTCCCGCGAAGTTGGCTTTCCCCGTGGCCGCCTCCTCTTCCTCTTCTGCAAAGGAAGGGCTGGCGCGCTCCGCTTTTAGCACCCTCCGGGCACGAGGCGTGCAGCTGCTTACGCACGCTCCGTTCTAGAACTCCGCGCGGTGGAAGCCGCGGGCGGCGGATTCGCTTCGCGTTCGCAGCCCTGCGGTAAAAGGTTGCATTGCTTTGAAAGAAAGAAAGGGGGGGGGGAGGCTTTGCATTGCTCCACCTATTGAAGAGAGGAATAAGTGGGGGTGATTGCAATAACCCACCTAAGGCCTGACTCCTGTGAAAACCCTGCCCTTTTTTCTGGCGGGGAAAGGGGGAGCAAGGCCTTGTTGTGATGACATCCCTTCTCCCTGCGAGGATTTGATTCCTTAGGCATGCATTCCTCTCTTGCCAGCGTTGCAGTAGTTGTTCGCCGATATTTCTTTGCCTCCCCCACCCTCCACTAGTTAAGGTGGCAATCTTAGCTGTTTAAGGTGCCACAAAACTGTTGTATTGCAGCAGGTTATTAACCTGGCTACCCCTCTGGTAATTGTTAGATTTTATAAAGGGATGAAATTGTTAATTTAAATGTAGCAGTTGCAAGAGTGGTAGCTGCGTTAATCGGTTGCATGTTCACAGTGTGGCGGTCGTTTCATACAAGGGTCCCTTCAAAGAGGCAGCCCCAATCTGTGGTTTCAACGCATTTGAATCATCAGCACATAGCAAAAGGGTGACATTAAGTTGTTCTGTTGTGCTTCAGATGCTGCTTCCTTGTGTTGCACCAGGAATCCCAAAAGCAGCATCCGATGTACCATCTTTGCAAGAAAGGCAGTACCAAAGAGGCTTAAGTGAATTCTTAAGACACTCCTGCAATCTGGCCTCTCTCATTGCTTTTGTTGACATCACTTTTTTGTGATGGTGGTAATGGGGGCAGCACAAGTCAGAAGTCCTATTACACTGGGGAATTGGAGTCCTTATAAGTGTGTGTAGGATATACAGTGGTACCTCAGGTTACATACACTTCAGGTTACATACGCTTCAGGTTACAGACTCCACTAACCCAGAAATAGTGCTTCAGGTTAAGAACTTTGCTTCAGGATGAGAACAGTTTCAGGTTAAGTACGGACCTCCGGAATGAATTAAGTACTTAACCTGAGGTACCACTGTAATAGCATCCCGAAACTGTTGCTACTTTCATAATGCTGAACCTGCGCTTGAGAGGCACATTGATACTGATCAGCCACACTTGCCTTTGATCCCTCCCTTCCTCCGCCCCCTCCTTTTATGTCCCTTTGGAATTTACATCACTCTTAAAGAATTCCCTGCATCCTTTCAGGTGTGAAGATGGAACTGCACAGCCCCTTCCTGTGAAGAACTGGCCCCTCCTAATCCTCTTCATCTCATTGGGCAAACTCTGCAGAGGGTAAGGCTGCAGGTTGTAAACTGTGCAGTGGCTTAAGCATGTGGTGAAGGGAAACAAAAGCTGCAAAAACAAGCACCTACATAGCAACATTGACAAGACATGCTTACAGTGTTGCTGGCAAGCTTATTGCTGCACACCAGACATGAAGTTTCCACCTGAAGACATCCTTAAAATTAGCCATTCAGACAGCCAGAAAGAGATCTGCACACATTCCGCAGCGCAGACCACTTAATGCAAACTATGGTCACAAACTCCACAACTCCCAGTGCGGTGTCAGTTTCTGCAAACTCTTGATTGCTGTCACATTGCAAACGTTAGTGAGAGATCCTCGGCTTTCAGGACAGTATCTGTCATTAGTTTCCTTGATGAAACCTATGGTCATCCTGGAGTAATAGCATGCCCACCAGTCTAAGAAAACCTGCCATGAAATTAATTCCACTGGTAAAGTAAAGCAGCAAGCAGCTTCAGGCTAAGGAACAGTGGGTTGAATCCAAGGTAGTGCTAAGGCAATTGTTTCATCATCACAAAGATTTCTGCTTGTGCCACAGAATGTTCTCCCCCATGCACCTTTTAGAACTTCTAGGGGTTCCTCCAGCCCTCTGGAACAGATTTGAGGAGGGCATGGGGCGGAGAAGGAGGATAAGGGATAAAGTCCCATTTCACAAGTGGAAATCCTTGTACTGACAGGACTCATTAGTAGAATGTCTCCAAATGAATAGAATGTAAAAGGGACACTTACAATGATTGTTTACCTTATTGATTAATGGCTGCAATCCAACACATAGTTTAGCTCCTAAACTCCCAGTGAACTTGATGAGATTTAAGGATCCTAACTATATGCAGACTTGCAACCTTAGCATTCCTTCTCATTTTCTGTAGTCACAATCCTTTGGCTGGCAAAACAGAGGTCATTGCCCAGATCCTGCTAATAACGGATTTAGCTGGACTGAGCTGCTTATATTAGCACTTCAGCAATATCTGATCTTGTTAATTTCTAAATGAGAATCCACATATAAATGTCAGACGGAGAAAATACTTTCTGGCCATAACAGAATTGTGTACTTAAACTAAATTGGTTTTCTAACAAATCTCATAAACAGATTTCTACCAGATCTATGTGTTGGGAAAGGGAGGAACTGCATTATTGACTAGATACACTAATTTCTGCAAATGATTCTAAACAACTGATGTTTAAAAGTAAATTGACATTTATACATGCATTTATTTAAACAATTTATACCCTATCCTTTGGTTGAAATCACAATACTCAGGATGGCTTGCTAAAAATTAAAAATTGCACTCCCTAATCATCATCATCATCAAATAAAACACTAAAAGTTACCAAGGTAAAAAATATCACACCATAGAGTAGCCCCCACCAAAATTCTTAAGCTCAGCAGGCCAAAAGCTGGCCAGAACAGAAATATCTTGACTAAGCATTAAAAAAACAATAATACTTGCAATAACATCTATGTCAGACATGACAAACTCATAAGACTCTTGCAGCAGATGGTTAAATGCATCACTTCAAACAGAACAGCAGACACAGAGAGGTGATTAGTATCAGGAACTATTGGGGATGTGTGGATTTAAACCTTTCTTCCTGTGGCATGATTCTGGCAACTTCCTCCACCTCAGTTGCCACTCACCTTTGGAGGGCCTCTCCCACTGACTGTAAAAACCGGAATGTTTAATTCACATACAGTGGTACCTCGGGTTACAGACGCTTCAGGTTACAGACTCCGCTAACCCAGAAATATTACCTCGGGTTAAGAACTTTGCTTCAGGATGAGAACAGAAATCGTGTTCTGGCGGTGCAGGTGGCAGCTGGAGGCCCCATTAGCTAAAGTGGTGCTTCAGATTAAGAACAGTTTCAGGTTAGGTACGGACCTCTGGAACGAATTAAGTGCTTAACCTGAGGTACCACTGTATCTTGTAAAATCTTTGCACCACACAGTCATCCAGAGTCTTCCACAATGTCTCATATGTATTATCCCACCCTTCCAGCTCAGTATAGTTTACATAGTTCTCTGCCACCATTTGTGCACTTAGGGAATTTTTAATTATTATTTGTTTAAAGGATTTATACTGACCATTCAATCCAGTGATTACAGACTGATGGAAAGTATGGAAGAAAGGAAGAACGAGAGAGAGAAAGCCACACACCCCAAAGCACACATATACAACATAGCATCCAAAACACACCTCCTTGCATTTGGCAGTTGAGGCTGTATGTTCTTTCTAGGTGGGGTATAGCTCAGTGGTTGAACACATATTTTGCATATGAAAAGTCCTAGATTCAATCCCTGGTATCTTCAAGTAGAGCTAGGAAAAGACTCCTCTCTGAAACTAGCCACTGCTAGTCATTGTTGACAATGGTGAGCTAAAAGGACCAGTGATCCTACTTGGCTTCTGATGGTCCTTGCTGGCAGGGATGGTGCGAGGAGCAATCTGTCTGCCACTGTTCATTCTCTGGTTGATGTACGATGACGGATCTCTTGGTAAACCTTTGTCTTCTGCTTTTCTCTCTCCTCATATTTTTTATGGTTGTACTGGCAGAGTAGCCAAACCTTGTGGGCATTACTTTCCACATAAAAAAGCAGGTGTCCCTGGGCAAGCCGGCAGGGCAAATGGAAAACGGTTTGGACCCATGCCTAGAAAGCACGAGATGAGCAGAAAACTCCATGCCCATGTTGGCTACTCATTTATATTCTTCCTTTGTGATTTGCCCCTTCTGTTTCCTATACATGTCACATTTAAATCCCTGCTCATCTGAAAGCGCCTTATACAGCCGCACCAGTTTCTTTAGATGCTTCCCACTTTTATTTCTTGGAAGGCAATTCAATACCTCACATTTAGGAAACTCATCCGTCATGAACTCCCTGTTATTTGTAAGCCTCCACTCACATAATTTAAAGATTTTTAGGTTTTCTAAAACCGAAAATGTCCATTTAGGAATTTGTATTGCACAATAAAGATGTATTTAAATCAAGAGAAATGAATGAGGATGTATGCATCTATCCATTCAATTGGGGAAAAACTAATTACAGAGACAGTTCTTTGAGGGAAACAATGCATCTGTAGCAAGGTGGGAGGACTGTTATATAAGGAAGGCTGTTTAGGGACACCGTTAATAAAGTCACAAATGACATGTGGGTTTGTTTTATTTTTTCATGAAGAAGGTTGGAGGGGAAGAAGCAATTTTATACCCATTGCTTTAACATTTTTGTTTTATTTGGGGGGGGAGGGAAGCTTTAAAGCAATTTAGAATATTTAGAAACATTCCCTTCTTTTTTGCTAAAAGGAAAGAGAATGCATGGTGATAGCAAAAGGATGTGTTGATCAGATCCAAGGCAACTGACCGCGGATGAGTGTGCTGATAATGTACTTGCTACCTTCTGTGGCGACGACGTTAGAAAAAGGGAATTGCAGCCTAGAGATGACAAACTGGGAGGAAGGCGTGGGAAGCACGCAAACCATAAGTTTCCGGCCTTTGTGACTTATCCCAACAATATCAAAATAAGCTCCAATAAACAAGAGGGGAAGACTCGAGAACAACGGAAGCAGATCTCAGAACACTCCAAGCAGCCTAGGAAGGCACAGCCCATAGAATGATCCCTGCTACTCCCCAGAAGAGGAGGAGACGAGTGGTGGTGATAGGTGACTCCCTATTGAGGGGAACAGAGGCAGTAGTGTGTGAAGGAAACAGGATGTCACAGGAGGTGTGCTGTCTTCTGGGTGCAAAGATTCACAATGTGATGGAGAAGTTGCCAAGTCTTATACAGCCCACTGCCCACTACCCCTTATTTCTGATCCATGTGGGTACAAATGATACTGCCGCACAAAGCCTGCAACACATAGCAAGGGACTATGAGACACTGGGCAGGGAGCCGAAGAGACTTGGGGCACTGGTAGTCTTTTCATCACTCCTCGTTGAAAGTTGTGGCCCAAGAGAAGAGAGGAAAATACTTGAGATAAACCACTGGCAGCACAGGTGGTGTCGTCAGGAAGGAGTTGGCTTCTTGGATCATGGTCTCCGCTTCCTTGAGGAAGAATGTGCTGTCAAACCTCCCTTGGCCAATGGGGACAGCAGCCCCAAACACCCTCTCCTTTTTTGCCAGCAACCTCACCTTTTGATAGTGTGGTGCACCCAGAGAAGAGGGTTGGCAGGTCATCTCAGTAACTGGGTCGATTTGGGGCTGGAAGCAGGGACAGACTTTGATAATATGGTGCCCTGAGTGACAACAAAAATTGGCACACCCAAAATATTTGTTCTTTTCACAATAATTCATTTTTGTACAGTTGCTTTTTTATGGATCTTCTCAATAGGTACCCATATAATACAGGTGTTAGTATTATTATTTTATTTTGTGCCCCCTGTGTGGGGGAACCACCCACACTGCTCTAAGTCTGGTATTGCTGGAAGATTTCTGCAGAAGTACCTGTCATTTGTATGAATAAAAAGTGGCAATCTGACATAAGCATCAATCCTTTGCATACATACCTGGAAACAAATCCAGGATGGATTAACGTCTTAGCAAATTTGCATAGAAGTGGTCTGAGGGTACTACCAGAATGAATGACCTGATAGTGTCATGTTTGATGAATCAGCATGCTTGACACATGGAATCCATGTGGGCTGCAATTTAAAGGGATAAGGGCATCAAGAGAGGACAGCCCAGCAACTATGCTACAAAAATAGAAGCAGTGCTACCAATGTCTGCTGCCACCTTGGGTTGCCAACTGACCCTGGTAAAATTGCTGTGGCCTTAAAATTGCTGTGCCTTAAACAGCTGCTTGATCAGCAGACAAAGTGTTGAGGACATTGATATGAGCATTTCTTTAAAAGTATCATGTTTTAATCTAGATGCTCTTAGGTGAGATGTGCAGTTTAAAAAGGGGGGACTGAAAAAAGTTGTATAAGCTGTCTTTTTGAATGTCCTGCTGGGCTGCATCAGCAGTGCAATGGGAAGATTTCTGTTGTTCAGTTTCCTGTTCCGTTTATCTCCCTCTTCCTTAAAACAATTTTCCTTCCTAATAAAAGGAATGTGCTGGTGCTGCTGTAGTTCTGACACAGCATGAGTTTGACCAAACTGCGGGAGGCAGTGGAAGACAGGAGTGCCTGGCGTGCTCTGGTCCATGGGGTCACGAAGAGTCGGACACGACTAAACGACTAAACAACAACAACATTTTCAAATAAAATAAAAACTACATTGGAATCAGTGACAGGGAAAATAGGAAAATACATATGCCAGCTCCACTACTGGTGTTTGTCCCCGTTCCCCATCTCCCACCCACCCACATTTTGGGGAACTGCTGAAATGGGAACCTTTCCCCTGATCTCCAGGAAGGCGTTTACTGACATAGGCATTTCTATGCAGTAGGACAACAGCTGCCAAGTTGTGTCCAGGAAGAGCTCTCATGAAGTCACATCTCCCTTCTGATTAAGGACCCATCTCTCCACCCTGAGAGAGGGAGACCCAAAACGTCCTATGGCGTCTTGAGAGCCCTCAAGAAACATTAGAATTGTAGCCATAGTTTATTTTCCCCCTTTCTGTTTTTCTTTACAGCTTCCTCCTGTACAGCGTTAGGTGTACCTGAGCCCACTGAAATGCCTAATTCTGCAAAGGCCGAAGCTGTTAGTGCGATCTTTTAAAAGTATATTGTTTATGTACATTGGTACGTCAGGTTAAGTACTTAATTCGTTCCGGAGGTCCGTTCGTAACCTGAAACTGTTCTTAACCTGAAGCACCACTTTAGCTAATGTGGCTGCGCCGCCGGAGCACGATTTCTGTTCTCATCCTGAAGCAAAGTTCTTAATCTGAGGTAATATTTCTGGGTTAGCGGAGTCTGTAACCCGAAGCATATGTAACCTGAAGCGTATGTAACCCGAGGTACCACTGTAAAACAAAAGGGGGAAAATCGGTCCCGTATAAATAAGACAAATAACAGGATTTTTTTGTGATTAGACATTTCCTGTCATTTGAAAACATGCCTTCAGGTATACATACATGTTAAAGTCAAGCAGGTTTGGCTGATCAGGAGTTGCTGTTTTTTCCTGTCCTGGTGCTTTACTGAACGAGGGCTTAGTCAAGTGCAGCAGTTACATTCCTCATGCCAGGAAAAGGCAAATACTGAAGTATATTGAAACTTGATAGCAATGCAGTAATAGCCAGACGTGCCCAATCATTGCAACTTGGTTCTTAATGCAAAGGGTGCTTTTTAAATGCACAGTTTAAACCGTCGCTCTCCATTCAACTATCTGTGCAAAATCATTTAAAAATAAAAATCCCTTGTCACCAGTTCCATTCATTGTTGCAGTTTCAAATGTATTGGTTCTTTGTCCTTTTCTAGTGTATGGATTGCAACTGTCACTGAGTTACACAGCTTGCTTTAGGCCCGTAGCCAATGTGATTACAGCAACAACCTCTGAACCAGTGAGAGAGAGAGAGAGAGAAGAAAATAAGGTAGTCTTTAGGCCCACTAGAGACAAGATCTGTGCACCAGGCTGACAATGTTAAATAAATGTTTAACAATGTCAAATGAAAAGAAACCAGTGAAACCACTGGCTATTCAAAGCTGTCACAAGCTAATGGGGTCCTTGAAGCATTTTTTATTTTTATTTTTTGCAGCAAACTGAAAATAATAACCATCCATGCCATTGATGGTGTGACAGGAACTCTGGCTATGAGCCTCTCAGCAAATGTTATCAGCAGAAATACTCCACTGTCTTAAATGGATTTGCAAATTCATTTATTCTAAATAAAATGAATGCAACCTGTTTGGCAAGCTGTTGTTTTTGTTATAAAGTTACTCTAGTTCAGAAAAAATATATCTAGAAAAATATAAGGTGTTATGGGTCAACGAAAAAGACACAGTTATATGTAGCTGTTTATGCCAAACGAGAAACAAATAGTTGTTTTATCTGCATTATTATTGTTTATCACTTCCATAGGATCGTTTAGTTCAGAGGGGTTTGGGCCCATATGCAACACTATCCTCTGTGCTATGTTACAAAATAATTTGCTCCCATTTTATAGATGGTAAACTGATGCTGAGAGAAAATACTTTGCCTAAGACCTCCTGGTAAGATTGTTGCTGAACAGTAGCTCAGTTGGGTAACAAATCACCTCATTTTAACCAGTCAGTGGAATGGATACTGTGGATTGGATTCCTCCCTATTCTAATAACCTCTTCTCTTGGAAGGGGTAGAAGAAGTGTGCTGCGAATCATAAAAGTGACGCTGGATCTAGAGAAGTTAATCTATTTGTGCAAACTCCTGTGCATGACTGGACAAGCGCTTTCTTAAGTCTTTAACATGGCTACAATCTGTATCTTCCTTATTCACAACCCCTGATACATTGTGCATGTGCACTGCAAGACGTCTTCCACTAGCGCTTGTGCAAAAGTCCTTGGAACAACACTAATTCATTTTCTCTTGTTCTTTTAGATTCAGGTCTTCCTTTTAAAAAACATGTGTTCCACCAAATGCCTCAGTTAGGAGTCTTTTCAAAAATAATACACCAGGAGCAAGCCTGACTGAACGTAGAGACTTGCCTCCGAGTAAACATTGCAAAGATTGACTTGACAGTGTTATAAATGAAAATAATCACTTGTTGCTAGAAGAAACAGCCCTTTTTATTTTTAATGCTCTGTGTTTCAGATGTTCAGGTTGCGAGTGTTATCTAGCCAAAACAGCAACATCCACCCCGAAGAGGGAGGAGTCAACAGATTCCATGTGGTGGTGGTTTGCAGAAGCTCCCCCAAAATAATTGAGGGGCGGGCCCTCCAAAGTGGGGAAGGAAGCCCAGTGAGCACTGAGCATGCTCAGTGGCCGTGGAATGCTGACTGGTGGTGGTGCCTGAAAACAAGGCAGAAGGGGGAATTAAATAGTAGCTGTCATTCTGAGCAGGGAGTACTTCACAGTACAGTCACATCCACACCATACATTGAACAAGCATTTAAAGCACATAGCTTCCCCCAAAGTATCATGGAAACTGTCGTTTATGCCACACAGAGCTATAATTCACAGCACACTTAATAAACTACAGTTCTTAGGATTCTTGGAGGAAGACATGGGTTTTACATGTCCTTTCAGTGTATGGCAGGGGTCAGCAGGGGGCCGGTCCACTGTCCCTCAGACCTTGTGGAGGGCAGGACTATATTTTGAAAAAAAAATATGAATAAATTCCTATGCCCCACAAATAACCCAGAGATGCATTTTAAATAAAAAACACACATTCTACTCATGTAAAAACACCAGGCAGCCCCCACAAATAACCCAGAGATGCATTTTAAATAGGACACATTCTACTCATGTAAAAACACTGATTCCTGGACTGTTCGCGGGCAGGATTTAGAAGGCGATTGGGCTGGATCCGGCCTCCGGGCCTTAGTTTGCCTACCTATGGTGTATGGTGTGGATGTGACCACAACATTTTGTTTCTGGTCCCCCTTGTTACATAATACATGAGAACTGTATTAACACCAGAAATGGGTACTTTAGCATCATCATCAACAGTTTAATGAGTTGAAATTTTAGTCTAGTGATTAAACTTTGCAGGCCACTTAAACAGGGATTTGACTCTTGGTTGCTCAGTTTGAATTTCTTTCCTCTAGCTACTGCTGTGCAAGTTTCTGCAGTCCAGACGTCTCTAAAGTTGCAATCTTGCGCATACTTCTATTGGGAGTTAGCCACAATGAACAGAGTTGGACACACTGTTTTACTGGAGTAAAAATGCATAGGATTGTGTGGCGCAGTTTGCCTATGGACGTCTACATTTTTTTTATTACTAACTCAGTGTATCAAATTCACATTTCCTTGGATTTCAAATATATAGAATAGTTACGTTCAGGTGTCATTTTTCTGGCAAAATAGCACTCTTCAGGTGTAAGCTTTCTGTAGGTTTGTGAGAATTCTTTTCAGCTCGGCCTAACATAACACTATGGTGATTCATTCAAACAGCCTATTCTTATTTGAGAAATGTGGGTCATTCAAAAACATACTACAGCTGTTGTGATCGGGGATACTGACAGAGTGTTTCCAGTTATTCACTCTAAATAGGAAATTTAGACAAGTATAACACAGAACATGTGGTTGGAAAGGTGCTCTGTTTTTGGTGGAATTCTTCCATTGCTAAGTCGTTCATCTCTTAAATGTCTGCAAAAAGCCTTTTTAAAAATCTCGCACACTAGGCTCAATTATGCCTTATACCTGGCTGTTAAATTTAGTGGGCAAGTATGCACTTACATAGTCGATATAGAAATCCTGCAATTAAAAGCTAGTAGAATCCAGAGACAGGTATTAACACCGGAGTGGTTACATTACTCAGTAGCTTAAAAGGTTTTGCCACCACTAACTGTGCACCCAAAACGTGATTCTGAGTGCTTCTAAACCAGTGTTTCCCAAACTTGCATCTCTGGCTGGTTTTTTTTGGGGGGGGGGACTACAACTCCCATCATCCCTAGCTAGCAGGGCCAGTGGTCAGGGATGATGGGAATTGTAGTCCAGAAAGAGCTGGAGACCCAAGTCTGGGAAACACTGTTCTAAACCATGGAACGTGCCATGGGATGTGTCTCAGCATCAGATTGGCTCTGCCACTGCAGCCACACCATGCTGACCTCCCTCCCTGCCACCTCACCCCTCTCAGTAATCAGCAACCAGGTAAGCAAAGCCAGGTAAGCTGTACAGTTCTGCCCTGCCCTGCCTTGATGACAGCAACTGTGGCACAGCTGTGGTACATGCTTTAATGACATCTTGTTTGATCTACTGCAACATGCTGTAGGTAAGGCAACCTTAGTATCTATGTATCTAGATCTAGTATCTAAATGTAGTACAGTGGTAAAGGTAAAGGGACCCCTGACAATTAGGTCCAGTTGTGACCGACTCTGGGGTTGCGGCGCTCATCTCGCTTTACTGGCCGAGGGAGCCGGCGTACAGCTTCCGGGTCATGTGGCCAGCATGACTAAGCCGCTTTTGGCGAACCAGAGCAGCGCACGGAAACACCGTTTACCTTCCCGCCGGAGCGGTACCTATTTATCTACTTGCACTTTGACGCGCTTTCGAACTGCTAGGTTGGCAGGAGCTGGGACCAAGCAACGGGAGCTCACCCCGTCGCAGGGATTCGAACCGCCGACCTTCTGATTGGCAAGTCCTAGGCTCTGTGGTTTAACCCACAGCGCCACCTGTGTCCCTGTAGTACAGTGGTACCTCGGGTTAAATACTTAATTCGTTCCGGAGGTCCATACTTAACCTGAAACTGTTCTTAACCTGAAGCACCGCTTTAGCTAATGGGGCCTCCTGCTGCTGCCGTGCCGCCGGAGCACGATTTCTGTTCTCATCCTGAAGCAAAGTTCTTAACCTGAAGCACTATTTCTGGGTTAGCGGAGTCTGTAACTTGAAGCGTATGTAACCCGAAGCATATGTAACCCGAGGTACCACTGTATCTAGAAACTTTATTTGGTTCTAAATCTGCAGCCAGACTATTGACTGGAACTGGGAAGCTTGTTTGTTAGTTTTATTTCACAACATTTATCTGCTGCTTGGTTGTAATAAATTTTTTTTGAAAAGAACAAAAGAACAAAACTGTCAGTCAAAAACAAGTATTTAAAATATTCCAAAAAGAATTGAAAGAAGCAATAAGCTAAAACCATGTTAAAGGATGCTTCCAGCAGGCGT